AAAAATATGTTCAAAATGTCAACATTTACACAAAAAGTTGAAAACGTGAATGAAAATTGTAAAATTAATGATATAATAAATCTTTGGGAGAAAAACAATAATTTCTTATATTCATATTAGTGAGAATTTCATGTATTTTCGTATACATTTCCTTTAAAATCAACAAACAATTTTTTTGAAAAAAGGAATTATTTTACTATGAAGTACGAATCGTGCCGTATGAACGGGTTAATTCGTGTACCTAATTCTGAGAGCGAACAACGTTGTTCGGTTTCCAATGGAAACATGCTATAAAGTTCAAATTTGGTCTGTTCCAGAAATGCAAGAATGTAAACGTTTTTATTTTGATAATCGATTTTGCCTTTATGAAATCGGAAAAAATTGCACAACTAGTAGATTCTTGCAGGTTCTGGAACAGAGCAATTGTTGAAAAAATGCAACAAGTTATTTTGTTTACTTGAGATGTTTTTTCACAATAATTTAATTTCAGAGAAAATCATAAAAATTGAGTGGAATATATCGAAATTTTTTTAATATTTGCTCTGTGACAGAATCTGCAACAATCTAGAGATTTTGCATTTCAAATAATTGAGGCCCAGCATATCAAATAATTGAGGCTGCAATTAGCATCACAGCAAATCGAATGCTGTCAAACAAATAGTGTGTACCCCACCTTAAAAAAGGTGCAACATTATACGATTGCAAAAACAACGAAACGATATTGACATCGGCCATCCATCGATTATTTGTCAGCGCTAATTAGAATATATTTTCCAATTTTTCCTGCTCAGATAGTTTCTTTTTTTTGCATAAAATCTAATAAAATGGAAGAAAATGAACCGAAAATAAGTAAAAATACTGCAACCGGTGAGCTGCAAGGCCAGGGATCATCCCAAACGGCGATTACACAACCAACTGACAGCGGTACATCAGGTAATTTGGGTGTGTGGGCTAGGTCAATAAATCTTAGCTCATAAACAACAACTAATTTGAAAATTTCCTCATTTAAGACATGGTACCGAGAACGCAACTATTGGAACTGCAGGAGGAGAATCGTAAGATGTTAAATAACTTTAATGCCCAACGGGCCAAACTGAAGGAGTTGTTTGTGCAAAAGGAACAAGAGCTGAATGCAATGAAATCGAAGTTGACGGTGATGGAGATTAAGGCTCAAGAAGAGATATCTTCTCTGCAACAATTGGTGCAAGGTAATGCGGAACAAATTTCATTACTAATGCGTTTTGTAATGTTGCGCTAATTTAATTATAGAAACCGTCGAGGAGTCTGCCATCTGCAAATCAGAATTGGAACTTCTGAAACAGGAGAATCAACATATTCTACAAGAAAATCGGCAATTACAAGAAAGTTTACATTCAGCCTCAACGTCAACGTCTCAGGAACTTAGTAGCTTGGCACCCCAAGTCCTGAACCAAGTGAAGAAGACCATAGCACGAATAGGTAAAAGTGGTGATCCTCACAATCCTTCGGCTGGTGATACGGCAACAGATGATGCCAACAAAAGCAAAAACGAGGGTAAATATGTAAGTATATAGCAGTGATAGTTGGTAGGAGAGGTCAGAAAAAAATCATAAAAAAGCTCTGTCCTTTAGATGAAATTGATTCAGATCCTCCGATTTCAATTTTATACCTCCCTAAACCTGTGATCATATAGGTGCTATGATTCGATTTACATAAATATATTTCTGCATAAAATTTAGGAAATTAAATGCATCTTTTCCCTGTAATTTCAGAGCCAAGAAGATTCAGAAGTGCTTGGATCAATTGTAACTCAGTTGCAAGAAGAAATGAAGGCATTAAAGGAAAAACTAAGAGAGGCTGATGAAAAACTACACACCACCAACACAAGCATTCTGGGCGAAGATGAGCAAGCGAACACAACTAAACCCCTATCTCCTGTGACATGTGAAAACTGCAACGCTTTGGAAAAAGATATTGAAATTCTTAAAACCAATGAGGCTGCAAAAAATGAAAAATTGGAAAAACTTAAAAAACAATTGGAAGAAATCCAAAAGGAGTTGGAAAAAGAGGCAGAGTTGAGGGCAGTTCTTGAAAATCAATGGCAAGAGAAACGAGAGGCCCACAAAAACGAGGTGCATGTGCTAAGGGAACAGGTGGGTGTACCAAAAAAAAAAACGTAGCATAACAAAAACCAACAATCATCTTCTTTCATTTTTAGGTCACCTCCAATGAACAACAGCTATTGGAATTACAACAGAAATTCTTGGAAACCAAAGACGAAGTATCCCGCCAGCTACAGCGCCTGGGTGAAGAACGAGAAAAAGTCAATAAACATTTGGAATTGTTACAGGCCGATAATGATTTCCTCTCTGGTCGTTATTTAGCCACGGCCGAGGAGATTGAAAGTCAATACATTAATTTACCAAACAACGTTGAAGAGTTACAGGAAATAATTCTAAGGCAACAACAAGATTTGATACAGGCTCGCTTGGGTTGTGATTATGAGAAGAAACGTTGTGTAACGTCCCTGGATGAAATACAAATATTACGTGATCAATTGGAGGCGAGCAACAGTGAGAGGACTGCATACAAAAAGAAGGTGCAAACGGAGATTCGCTCATTACAGTAAGTTGTTTTGTTGTTTTTGGTTTCCTATTAAAGTTTATGTTTTAATTGGAATTCACAGGGACCGCATTACCCAACACATGATGACCCTGCAAAATTGTGAATCAGCTAAAGTGGCTTTGGAGCGCAAGGAGGCCGAACAGAATCGTCAAATATCAGCGTTTAGAGTGGAGATAATTGAATTAAATGATCAGAATGTGAGTAAGACTTCAAGAATGGAAAATCGCATTAGCTGACTCAATGGAATCTAACAGGAATCTTTAAAAAGCTGGGATAATTCCCTTGATTTGATTTGGGGAATTTAGGAACAATAACTTTTTCAAAGAATTTCTTTAAAGAAATCTTGAAGTAGTCTAGAAAATACCTTCAGAAATGTCTATCTGAATTAATTTTTGAAGACCTTAAATTTTGAAGACCGGCATAGACCATGTCTTTATAAATCCTGCTTTAAAAGACCTTTCCAAGTTCAAGAAATTCCTTTAAAATGTCTTGAAGAAGTCCATCCATTCCCAGATTAACTTTAAGAAGCCTTGAAAACGTTCTCAACATTCAGCCTTTAGAGTGGAGATAATTGAATTAAACGATCAGAATGTGAGTAAGACTTCAAGAATGGGGAAAAATGCATTAGCTGTCTCAAAGAAATCTAACAGGTTTTTAAAAAAATGTAATTTTCCTTGATTTGCTTTGGGGAAATTAGGAACAGTAAATTTTTCAAAGAATTTCTTTTAACATGGCCCGAAGAAAATGCCTTAAGAAATGTCTATAAGAATTCATTTTTGAGACCTTAAAAGGCATAGGACTAAAAAGCCACGAAAAACTTCTTCAAAAGACCATGAGGTAGCATAGATAAATTGTCTTTTAAAATCCTCAACAAGTTTCCTTCCAAAACTAGAAAAATTATCTAAAAAAATTCCAAAGAAATCTGTAACAAAAACCCTCATTGCCTGGTCTTAGGGAAGTTACGAACATTTTTTTTAAATCCAATTTATCTGGTCCTTAAAACGACCAGAAATCTCTTAAAATCCTGGTATTACATTGGCTAAGAAAAATGATTTATAAATCAACATTGATCTTCACTAAAAGACCTAGAAATTTTTTCGGAAAAAAGTCCCTAAGGTTGCCTGGAAAACTATTTTAAAATTCTCCAACTGAAATGCAAAACGGAAATCAAAAGCTCTTAAAAAATCCTCCTCAAAAATATCCCCATTTCAAGGCTAGAAGGTCTCGAAAAATTTTTAAGGTTTTCATAAAAAAACTTTAAAAATTGTCTTTCTTTTTAGGAAAAATTAACCAAATCTCTGGCCGATGCCAAGACAAAAATTAAAAATCTCCAAGATGATCTGGCCACCAGTGAAGAAGTACAAAAAGATTTTGTTCAATTGTCCCAGACGCTGCAGGTAAGTGTGTGTGTGTGTGTGATCTGTATCACTTTTGCAATTAATTTTTTCTTCCCCTTCTCGTCAGATGAACTTGGAACAGTTGCGACATTCCGACTCGGAGGTACGCTGGCAAGACGATGATGATGTCTCCAATTGTCCGGCATGCAAAAGCTATTTTACTGTGACCGTTCGCAAAATCCATTGTCGTCATTGTGGCCATATCTACTGTGATAAGTGTATAACCAAAACGGTGCAATCCGGGCCACGTAAGCGGCCGGCCCGTGTGTGTGACATTTGCCATACATTGCTGAAACCGCATATAGCTCCATATTTTAGTCAAGAATCGGCGGTGCAATCACAACAGGCGGCCTCCAATAACACCTAGTGGACGTAAGGTGGTGTTGGAACGTCAAACTCATTTTCTAATTTTATGTGGGAATTTTAGTTGGAGTTTTAAAGAATTTAAGGATAGTTTTCGTAAATTCCTGTATTTTAAACATATGTATGTCATAGAAACTTTTAACTTTGTAAAAGTTAAAATATTTTTTTCTTCTAAAAAAAAACTCTGAGATATTCATTTTTTTACAATTTAAAGCCAAATTTATTTAAAAAGAAATTACAAAAAAACAATATGTTTCTAGTTATAATTTTAGGAAAGTTTATACTATTCGTCGTTTAAGCTTCAAATAAAAAAGGATATGATCTGTTTAATTTTAACAGAAATTATTTTTGTCAATTTCAACGATGCCACAACAAAATGGCGTAAGTATTCAAATACAGGTTGAGATGAAAAAACTGCAACCAACTTCCGACTGCTTTCATTTCAAAGCCACTCGTTCGACAGCTGTTAAAATTATTCCAGTGACAGTTCATTATACTAGATATTCCCTGCCTTACCCCCGGGTAAACATTATCATCGTTCTCCACTAATAAACAAACGTTGTTTTTATAAAAACAACAATAATGGGATTAAGCCTGACCATTTTGCAACAGCAAAAAAAAATAAAAATTATGGCGTTTGATTTTTTTTTCAAAAGAAATTTTTTTATTAAAGCAATTCAATTATTTATTGATAGTTTCTATTAGTTTAACAAATTCTGTTTTTTATTATTTATAATCATTTTTATCTATTCTTTTTTGTTTTTTTTTTTTTTCATTAAATCAAATTTGTAAGCAATCCATTTTTCAATTTACAAGTGCAGTTTATACTTCTTAGGCGACAACAATTAATAATATTCTAACTAAAAACTAGTAGCAATATTAAATGCTAAAATTTATCTAAAATTCATTTAAATATACACAGCGGGAGGGAAGAAAAGATGGAGAACAAAAAAGTAGTCAAGGGGGAGCAAGGATACAAAAAAATTAACTTAAATAATACTGCACTCTTTTAGGCGAAATTATTTCATAAATTGTCATGCAAATAACCATTCAAAATCATATCTTTAAAAAAAATTGAAAAAAAAAATCAACAATATAAACAAATTACTAACAAATTGCAACAAAAACAAAAATAGATTTTCAACACATAAAAAAACGGGAAAAAGGTCGTTCATCCTTTTGTGATTAATGGGTCATCCTGAGTGCAAGGTGGGTGGCGGGGAGCGACATCTGTTTTTAATTCTTAAAGAATAATATCTGGAAAGAGAGAGAGAGAGAGAGAGAGAAAAACAATTATTAAGTTTTCCTTTTTTTGCCAAAAAGTTTTGCATAGAAATCTTGTTTCCCCCCCCCCCAAAAAAAAAAAAAAAAAATTCTAGGTTAATTTTTTTGCTGGTTGGCTACTCACCTCAGATTAATAGCCTTCCCACTACAACAGCAATCACTGCAATTGCCGTTATGCCAATTACGCTCCACATTTTAAGTTTTCCTGCAAAAGTTTTTAAAAACGCACACATTTTTAAGTTAATAACAATTGCAACAAAAAGTTCTCACAAACGAAAAAAAAAGTAATCAATGAAAGCGATAAGTTAAATAAAATAAAAAAACAAATGGACTTACATACAAAAATATAGGTTTCCTTTTTGTCCCCAACATTAAGAAACACCAAAAAAGTGATGAAGATAATGAAGAATTTAACTTCCACACAACAGCAGGTGGTCCACAATTTACATAGATTAGTGTGGGATGAATGAAGGATATTCGTAGAGAATATTGTTGGGTATGACACTTTAACAATATGTGTGTGTTTTTGTGAATGTATTTTGTAATAAGTTTTCTCGGCGGGTATGTTGTTTTTTGTTTTTCTTTTCTTTTTTGTGATGGTAAATTTTAATGTTTTTGTCTTTTTCTTTGCTGTGATAGTAATGTGCCCCATTGACATCAATGAGATCTCTTAACGGACTCTCATTGATAATTACCATATGCAAGAGAGCCACTTTGAATGAGCTCTGCATTCAGTACTCACAGAGTGTTGATGAGTGGGTGGTTTGTTTGTTTATGTAGCGCATTGGGCAATTGTGATTCCCTTTTGTAAGAAGAGAACAATGAAAATGGTGAGCAACAAATGAGATAGTTACAGAGAGCTTGGTTGGTTTCATATGATGTGTGTAGTCATTTGTCAACGATGGTTTTTTGGCGCGAACCAGGAAAGAATTTTGCGGTGTGACAATTTGCAACGGCGCGTAATCATTTTACAACATCAATTAATGTAAATAAATTGTTTTTTTTTTTTTTGTAGATTTTCTTGTCGACATCATGGGGATGTAATGGAGATAACAAATGTGTGTGTGTGTGTTTTTTTTGGTTTTAATGGATATAAATAAAGGCACACTGAACAGAGAGTGGATTTCATGGTTTGTTTGTCTTGTTTTTTTTTTTTTTTTTTTTTTTTTTTTGTTGATGTTGGATGGTGGAGAGACAATTTTTTTTCGATATACATTTAATATATATCTGTTGCAGATTTGGAAATACCTCCATCATTGCCACCATTGCCGGGCAATGTAATGTTGCGACCATATTTATCAAGGAACTCAATAATGACGCCATTGGACCAGCCAAAACCTTTTTGGACATCATATTCACCGCCGCCACCATGGCCACCAAAACGTTCGGCATCATACTGCAAAAAAGAAAACATTTCAATTATCATTCCTTTTCCAAACAACATCTTTCTCTCTCGAACCTACCTTTTCAAACATGGCCCTGGTCTCGCTGTAGGCCTGGAAGTTGGATTTCACCCAACGATGACCCCATTTAACGGACAATTCTTTCGATTCCTGGGTACCCAAATTCTCCAAACCCTTGATCAACAAATATTGCATGGGTGGCCAAACATTGGGGAAATCCCACTGCTCACCGGTACGATACAGGGTATTTGGTACACCACCCGGGTATTTATCCAATTCCAATTTTTCAATATATTTCAAAACTGATTTGGATATTTTCTCGGTATCATTGAGATTATAGGACATGGTCCAAAGCGGTGCCAAATTGGTGGGTACAAAATAGTTACGGGACTTATTGTTGATTAGATCATAATCCAGCCAGACGCCGGCTTCTTCATTCCAGTGGACAGCCTCAATTGCCTGCAAAAATGGGATAAGAAATAGAAAAATATATCACATGGAGAAAATGTGCGTTCCCTTGGAAAAAATCTCTATTTCTCACTGGATGAATTGGGTTTCCGTTAGGAAACCTCGAACTCAGCCTGCCTGTATTGAATTTCCGTTGCGAAACTTCGGCCTGTCAGAATTGGGATTCCGGAAGGAAAGTGCAATTTAGCCTGGATGAATTGGATTTTTGTTAGGAAAACTTGAATTCAGAATGGCTGGATTGGGTTTTCGTCATGAAAACTCGAATTCACCCTGACCTTATTGATTTTCCGTTGCGAAAACTTCGATTCAGCCTGGCTCAATAGGGATTCCGTTGGGAAAACTCGAATTCAGATTGGCCCAATTCGGTTTCCTTTGGGAAAACTCTTATTCAGTCTGGCTGTATTGATTTTCCGCTGCGAAAACTTCGATTCAGCCTGGCTGTATTGATTTTCCGTTGCGAAAACTTCGATTCAGCCTAGCTCAATAGGGATTCCGTTGGGAAAACTCTAATTCAGATTGGCTTAATTCGGTTTCCGTTGTGAAAACTCTTATTTAGCCTGACTGGATTGGGTTTCCGTTGGGAAAACTCTAACGTAGCCTGGCTCAATTGGGGTTTATGTTAGTAAAACTCTAATTCAGTCTGGCTCTATTGGGATTCCTTTGGGAAAACTCTAATTTAGCCTGACTGAATTGGGCCTCCATTGGGAAAACTCTTATTAAGCCTGGCCAAATTGGTTTCCTTTGGGAAAACATTGATTCAGGCTTGGTAAATTGGCGTTCCGTTCGGAAAACTCTTAAGGAAGGCTGAATTAAAATATATATTTTTTTTCAATCTCAAACTCACCTCCAAAATTTTCGCCGCTTTATTTTCATACTCCTCCGCCTTTGAATTGTTGCCAGCCAACCTATAGAACTCGGCAATAATCTTGGCATTCCAATGCAGGATGGCATTCAGTTCGACCGGAACAATGGACCGTGTCTTCAGGTGGGTTAAATCTCCAGTTTGTTCACCTTTGTCATTGATGAACCAACGTGAACTAAAGTCCATACCAGATTCAGCAGCAGCTTTCAACTCAGCATAGTGTTCCTCTTTTTCGGCATCTGTCACAAAAGCCTTGGAGGTTTCAATATCCTCACGATAGGACTCGGGGCGGGGGCCAGGCGATATACCGCCATAGGCACACACATTGTAACCCTTGGCCTGGACCGTGTGATTGTTCATCCAATATTCAAACTCATGTTCCAACACCTCCAGCGATTGTACAGCGAATTGGGTGTCCTTTGTGAACTCCACATAAGATTTGATCATGGCTGCCAGTAGCGGAGGCTGTGATCTCTGGGCATAGTAAATACGACCTCCGTTGGGAATGAATCCAAAACGGCGAACAATTGACATGAAATTCTCCAACATGCCACGGGCCGTGTGCGTCATTTGCGAGTAGAGCAGACCACGAATAATCCAATAGGAATCCCAGTAATAGAATTCAATGAAACGTCCGCCCGGCACAATGACAGGATTGTCGACGGGAATAATGGAATAAAAATGAGGATTGGCATGGACATCATCGATCATTTTGCGACCCAAATCCTTCCAAATGGCATTCAAATCAACACCCCACTGTTTCAGATCCGGGTCGTTAATGTTGTCAATAAAGGCAGGATGTTCCACCCAATCGGTGGGTTCCCAGGGTACAAATTCTTTGCCCAGATCATCAAAGTTGTTCTCAACGAATTCCCGTATTTCATCCTGGGTTGGGGAGTTATTTTTCGCTGCCATAAACGTTTGGAAATTGGCTATGGTCTCGGCTGGGGTATTCTTGAGTTTGCGATCGACAAATGTCTTTGAGTCCGCAAAGAGATGGGCCATTTGTACGGTGTGCAGCAGTTCGCCATAGCAGTAGATTTGACTGAGAGAAAAAATTAGGAAAATTAAAAAAAAAAAAATTAGTGAAGAAAATTTGAAAAATGCAAATCAAGCAGTTTTCTTAGCTTTTCAACCCTCCCCGTCTCCCCATCTCCCTTAATTAAGTCTGAAAAACTGACCTTAAGAACTTTTGAACTGTTATACCCACTTGACATAGGTCATTTGCTCTCAAGTCTCAAATGACACACATTCTCAGAGAGGGAAACATTCAATGTCAAGGCAATTAGACGTTTAACAATGTGTGTATGCGTACATTTCAAATGCGTTTTATACAATACCGGTATTAATTTGTTATTGTCTGGTGCGGCCAAAGACCCCCAAATATACCAGCTCACAGATTGTTGAAGCTGCTCTGTTTATAATTGTATATCAACGTTAGATGGCGCGTGCCTATGATGACGCGTGTCAGCCGAGACTAAATAGAAATTTTGAAAACTTTCAATTAAGAACAGAACTTTCTAAAGAAAATTTTCAGTTCAGAATAAAATTTTTTATAGAAAATTTTCAATTCAGAATGGAATTTTCTGTAGAAATTTTTCAATTAAGAATAGAATCTTTTGTATAAAATTTTCAATTCCGAATAGATTTTTCTATAGAAAATTTTTAATTTAGAATAGAATTTTCTATAGAAAATTTTTAAATAAGAAAAGAATTTTCTACATCATTTTTTTTCAATTCAAAATAGCCAAATTTTAATTTATTAACAGAATGCCGCTGTTTTCTTCCCCATGTCTTAATTTCATTCTAACGTTTTTTAAATTTATATATTTAATATTATTAAAGATTAATATTTGCTGTTCGGTAAATTTTTTTCCTAACGAAAAGTTATTCGATAACATAATATTTTAGAGAAATTTTAGTCTACCACAACGTTTTGGAACGGAAAAGTGGTTCAATATCAAAATTTTCTGTAGAAAAGTGGTTCGATATTGACATTTTCTATAGGAAAGTTCTTCGATAACAACATTTTCTGTAGCAAAGTCGTTCGATAACATAATATTTTACAGAAAATTTGGTCGATAACAACATTTGATGTAGAAAAGTGGTTCTATATTGGCATTTTCCAGTTCTTCGATAACAATATTTTCTGTAGCAAAGTCGTTCGATAACATAATATTTTACAGGAAATTAGTCGATAGCAACATTTTGCATAGGATCGATAACAACATGTAGCTCAGAAAAGTTCCTCGATAACAACATTTTTTGTAAAAATGTAGTTCGATAACATTATTTTCTATGGAAGTGGTGTTCGATAACATAATATTTTACAGAAAATTTGGTCGATAACAAGATTTTCTGCAGAAAAGTGGTTCGATATTAACATTTTCCGATAACAAAATTTTCTGTAGGAAAAGTAGTTTGATAACAACATTTTCTATAGAAAAGTGTTTCGATAACATTTTTTTTAATTTTGTATCGAAAAGTTGTTCAATACCAACATATTCTGTAGCAAAGTCGTTCGATAAATTAGCAAATTAGCCGATAGCAAAATTTTGCATATGTGAGAGGATCGATAACAACATGTAGCTCAGAAAAATTCCTCGATAACAATATTTTTTGTAAAAATGTAGTTCGATAACATTATTTTCGATAACATAATATTTTACAGAAAATTTGGTCGATTACATTTTCTGATAACAAAATTTTCTGTAGGAAAAGTTGTTCGATAACAACATTTTTTATAGAAAAGCGTTTCGATAACATAATATTTTATTTTATATCTTATTATTTTGCATAGAAAAGTTGTTCGATAACAAAATTGTTCTGTAGAAAAATGTTTCGATAACATACCATTTTACAGGAAAATTAGTCGATATCAAAATTTTTCATACAAAAGTTCCTCAATAACAACATTTTCGGTAAAAAAGTAGTTCGACAACCTTATTTTCTATGGAAGAGTTGTTCGATAACATGATATTTTACAGAAAATTTGATCGATAACAACATTTCCACATGAAAGTTGTTCGATAAGAACATTTAGCATAGAAAAGTAAATCGATAAAAATATTTTCTGTAAAAAGTGGTTCGATAATAGCATTTTCCACACAAAAGTGTTTCGATAACAAAATATTTTATAGAAAATTGGATGGTTACAACCTTTTGCATAGAAAGATGTTTTCTGTAGAAAAGTTGTGCGATAAAAACCTTTTCCATAGAAAAGTTGTCCGATAAAAACTTTTTCTATAGAAAAGTTGTTCGATAACATAGTATTTTACAGAACAGTTGGCCGATAACAACCTTTTGCATAGAAAAATTGTTCGCTTACTACATTTTCTGTAGAAAGGTTGTTTTTTTGCATAGAAAAGTATTTGTATAACAATATTTTCCGTAGAAAAGTGAATGGATAACACATTATTTTACTGAAAAATTGGCCGATAACAGCATTATTAAATAAAAATTAGAGCGAAAATTAAATTTCCTTTAGAAAAGTATTTCGATAAGAGAATTTGTAACATTTGTTATCGTAGTAAAAACTTTTATATTCAGTTCTGGGACAGGCCACATGTCTCGCTTTTTTTAATTTTTTTGTTTTCCTTTAATTTGTATTACTTTATGTTACAAATTTTCTAAAAATATTTTTGTTTTTTAATTGTTGTCTTGCGTCTCCATTTTATTGTGATAATTCCTTCTTTTTTAAATTTTTTATATAAATTTTAATTTGTTAATATAGTATTTTGAATTGTTGTTTTCGAAATTTCTATAATGTTTTTAAATTATTTTTAATTTTTTTCTTAATTTTTTTTACGATTTTATCTTAGTGGGCCTCAATTGTTTTCGATTTTTCTATAATATTTTTAAATTATATTTAATTTTTTTTTCTAATAATTTTTTTCTTATTTTTTTCACGATTTTACCTTTGTGGACGTCGACTGTTTTCGAATTTTCTATAATATTTTTAAAATATTTGTAATTTTTTTAAATAATTTTTTTCTAATTTTTATTTATTTTGCGTATTTTTGGGCGTCAATTTTAAATCCATTCGTCTTCTTTACCTTTACCTTTACCTCTACTCTACTCACTTACCATGCCTCAATTTCATTCTGATAATCCCTCTTCTGTATGGAATTATCACTGTAAAAACTGCGCGCATTAATTGTGGTAGGCGTATAACAGATATTCAACAGGAACAATAACAGAGATAGCCGCAAAGGCTTTAGGAGATTATTTCGTCGCGTAATCATTGCACTTTTTTGGTATTTCTTTTTTTTTAATCTGGGGTCTTAAAAATATTTTTATAAATTTTAATTTAATTATTTTTTTTATTTTTTATTTACTTTTTAGTTCTGTTACTTAATTTTTATTATTTTAATTTTAATAACTTTTATTATTTTATTATTATTTTTTTTTTGTTTAAAATTTGTATTTTTTGTGTTATATGTTACTTTTTTATTTTTATTTTGTTATTTGAATTAACTTTATTTTATATTATATTACTTTTTTATTTTAATTTCTCTTTTCTGGGGAAATATTTATTCCTCCACTTTAAAAAAATATTTATTAAAACTAAAATATTAATATTAATTCCCGAAATATTTTTCTCTCTCTTCACGACTGGCTGACATCGGCGGTCAGCCGTATAATACTTGTAATTGTAGAAAGATTTGTGTCTTTTATATGCATTCCATATAGCTATTTTTTGTTATGGAGAAAAGTTCACAACAACGGACAGACAGAACAGAACAGAGTCGAGAGCAGAGCCGTCGAGTCAAGTCCAGACGAGTAGAGTGCGATCGTGTTTTATATTTTTAGTAGGTATCTTTATATATTTTACACGATTACTTCGTTTTTATAACAATTGTTTTTTTCTGTAATTTTATTTTACACTTGATTCGTTGTGCTGCTGTCACTTTAAACGCCAGTTACTCTTCTGTTCTGTTGTTGCTGTCACACTAAGTGTATTGCTAAAATTGTCTCTTAGCATTAAGTACTTTTTTGTTTTTTTCTGGGAGGCATTGCAAATTCAAATTGTTTGGTGTTTGATATCAATTGAGTGGGCCGTTACAAAGTGGGTGAGAGAAAGAGAGAGAGAGAGAGGCCTCCTGGGGTGAATGTATGTTTTTGTTTGGGGCAGAGTGAGATTTCGATCTCTGCCATTCAAGACAGGAACAACAAAAAGAGCTAATTTCATGAATCCAAAAAGAAAATCTGACGGTTGGACATTTTGAATGTCAGGCCACCATGACACCTTTGTTGTTTATTTTATTACAAAGAAAAAAAAACAGAGATTACATATCACCTTGCATGTACTTACATATGTAAATCAAGTTGTAACCTAAATGTGATAACAAACTCAAATTTCTTCTTACAAGGAAACCCGTGCGAACCATAAGCATAAAGAGTAACAAACCGAAGAGGTGATTCCCCCAAAAGCAAGCATGCTGTGTAAGGAGAGATAACACGCAATTGGGCAACTTGGTGGAGTACCCAGGTAATAATTGGATACGGGTTTCAAAACTTTTTTCCACACACGGAAAAGAGGGAAGTTTTTTTAGATTAAAAGAAAGCTTTAATTTAAGTGTAATCGAATGTATTGCACATATTTTTTTGTTTTCGTTGTTATCGAACAACTTTTCTATAGAAAAAGTGTTTTCCGATCCACTTTTGTATGGAAAAAGTTGTTATCGAACGTATTTTCTATGGAAAAAGTTGTTATCGAAGAACTTTTCTATGGAAACAGTTGTTATTGAACAAATTTTCTATAGAAAAAGTTGTTATCGAACAACTTTTCTATGGAAAAAGTTGTTATCGAACAACTTTTCTATGGAAAAAGTTGTTATCGAAGAACTTTTCTATGGAAAAAGTTGTTATTGAACAAATTTTCTATAGAAAAAGTTGTTATCGAACAAATTTTTTATGGAAAAAGTTGTTATCGATCAACTTTTCTATGTAAAATGAGGCTATCGATCAACTTTTCTATAGAAAAAGTTGTTATCGAACAACTTTTCTATAGAAAAAGTTGTAATCGAACAACTTTTCTATAGAAAAAGTTGTAATCGAACAACTTTTCTATAGAAAAAGTTGTAATCGAACAACTTTTCTATGGAAAAAGTTGTTGTCGAACAACTTTTATACGGAAAAGTTGTTATCAAAAAATCTTTCTATAGCAAAAGTTGTTATTTAGCAAATTTTCTATGGGAAAACTTGTTATCGAACAACTTTTCTATGGAAAATGTTGTTATCGAACAACTTTTCTATGGAAAATGTTGTTATCGAACAGTTTTTCTATGGAAAAAGTTGTTATCGAACAACTTTTCTATGGAAAAAGTTGTTATCGAACAACTTTTCTATGGAAAAAGTTGTTATCGAACAACTTTTCTATGGAAAAAGTTGTTATCGAATTTTTTTTAGGAAAAAGTTATTATCGAAAAACTTTTCAATGGAAAAATTGTTATCGAAGAACTTTTCTATGGAAAAAGTTGTTATCGAATAATTTTTCTATGGAAAAAGTTGTTATCGAACAACTTTATTATGGAAAAATTAATTATCGAAAAACTTTTCAATGGAAAATATGTTATCGATGAACTTTTCTATGGAAAAAGTTGTTATCGAACAACTTTTGTATGGAAAAAGTTGTTGTCGAACAAATTTTCTATGGAAAAAGTTGTTATCGAAAAACTTTTCTATGGAAAAAGTTGTTATCAAACAACTTTTCTATGGAAAAAATTGTTATCAAACAATTTTTTTTATGAAAAAAGTTGTTATCGAAAAACTTTTCTATGGAAAAATTCGTTATCGAACAACTTTTCTATGGAAAAAGTTGTTATCGAACAACTTTTTTTATGAAAAAAGTGTTATCGAACAACTTTAGGTGTTATCGAAAAAGAAAAAGTTATTAAAAAACAACTGTGGCTCAACTTTTCAGTAGAAAAATTTGTTATGGAAACGCTTTGCTTTGTTAATTTGTCTTATCGAAGGTAAACTTCAATTCAGCCTTCCTGAATTGGGTCTCTGATAGGAAAACTTCAATTCAGTCTGGTTGAATTGGTTCAATTTTGTATTGATTCAATTCAATTCAATTGTGTCATTGACTACCACAATATTATGACATAAGCTTCTAGAAAAACGGCGATATGAGCATGTCCTTGTAGCATTACCTTGGATAAATATTTAATTTGAACTTTAATTTTCAAGAAAATTAGAGTATCATTACGCTTGTAAATTGAATTGAAAATTAATTTGAAGTATGTCAACATTAATTGATTTTGAAGTAAATTAAACAACTGTTCAAATAAAAAAGGCGAAGTATTTTTTCGATAAGAGATCAATGTAATTGGTAATGTCGGCATTGTGGGGTTAAGCATTATGCTGATATATTTCAGGGCCAAGAATGGATGGGAGTCATTGTTGGAGGAGGTGTCATCGTTTCAACTTACTCTTGTGGGAGTTCCGAGGAGCTATAAAGAGGGGAAGGAGAGAAGGAAAAACAAAAAGGGAACTTTATATTATTTTACAATAATAATAAATAATTGTTTTTTTTTTTTACAAATTCCGGTAAGAATTGTTATTTCCTAGACGATATGTGTGTGCGTTTGTGTGTTTGCTTGCCATCTGCCATAGAAAACTTAATATTCAAATCATGAGGTATTGATGAATTTGTATAACTGTTTTTTTTACTCGCAACGAAACAAAAACAAATAAAATTTAACAAAACGTGATCTTATTCGATTTGTTTAAAAAGAAATTATTTTCTGTTTTCCCAACCTGTCCGTCCGTCCGTCTGTTGAACAGGAATTCTAAAAATTCTATTTATTAAATGAATTTTTATTTATTGATCTGAATGATCAGCGGAAGCTTACGGGAAATATAATTCACATCGATTATCTTTAACGAAGTGATGACAATTGACATTACACTTTATTTAATTAATTGTATAAATATTTACAACAAACTGACGGTTGAATAACTTGTGACTGAGTTTTGAACGAGTAAAGAGGAACAACAACACAATGAATTAGTAATTAAAACTATTTTGTCATATAAGTTTCAATATTGTCACAGCTATTACAAGTCTGTAGCAGATCGGAACAATTAAATTGTTTATCCAGATAAAAGGGCAAAAAAAAAAAAACAACAACATCCTAAGGATGTCGATAACAATAACATTATATAGAAAAACTGGTCGATAACAACATTTAGCATAGAAAAGTTATTCGATAACAACATTTTCCATGCAAACGTGCTTCGATAACATGATACTTTATAGAAAATCAGGTCGATAACAATATTTTGCATAGAAAAGTTGTTCGATAACAATATTTTTTATGCAAACGTGCTTCGATAACATAATACTTTATAGAAAACTTGGTCGATAACAAGATTTTGCATAGGAAAGTTGTTCGATAACAATTTCGTATAGAAAAGCAGTTCGATTATAACAGTTTCTACAAATAATAGTATTTTCCCTAGGAATGTTGTTCGATAACAACATTTTGAATAGAAAAGTTGCTCGATAACAAAATTTTCTATCCAAACGTGCTTCGATAAAATAATTCTTTATAAAAAATAGGTCGATAGAAACATTTTGTATAGGAAAGTTGTTCGATATCAATATTTCTGTAAAAAGCGGTTCAGGTTCTATGAAAAAGTTTTTCGATAACATTATATTATAAAGAAAAATTGGTCGATAACAGCATTCCCCATAGGAATATTGTTCGATAACAAAATTTTGCATGGAAAAGTTGTTCGATAACAGAATTTCTATGCAAACGTGCTTCGATAAGATAATACTTAATAGAATAATTGGTCGATAACAACATTTTGAAAAGAAAAGTTGTTTGATTACAATATTTTCTGTAGAAAGCGGTTCGATAATAACAATTTCTATACAAAAGTTGTTCGATAACATTATATTTTTAAGAAAAAATAGTCGATAACAACATTTTCCATAGGAATATTGTTCATTAACCACATTTTGAATAGAAAAGTTGTGCTTCGATAACATACAACTTTATGTAAAATTTGGTCGATAACAACATTTTGCACAGGAAAGTTGTTCGATAACAATGTTTTCTATAGAAAAGCGGTTCGATAATATCTGTTTCTATACAAAAGTTGTTCGATAACATAATATTTTACGGAAAAATTGGTCGATAATAACATTTTGCATAAAAAAGTTGTTCGATAAAAAATTTTCCATACAACATGTCTCGATAACATAATACCTAATAGAAACATTGGTCGATAAGAACATTTTGCACAGGAAAGTTGTTCGATAACAATATTTTCTGTAGAAAAGCGTTTCGATAATAACTGTCTCCATAAAAAAGTTGTTCGATAGCATCATATTTTACGGAAAATCGTATCGATAACAGCATTTTCCATAAGAATGTCATTCGATAACAACATTTTGAATGGAAAAATTCTTCGATAACAATATCTCCTGTAGAAAATTAGTTCGAAAATAAAAATTTCTACACAAAAGTGATTCGATAACATAATAGTTCACAGAAAAAATTTCCCGATAACAAGTTATAATAAAGAAAAATTGTCCGGTAGAAGCTATTCTATAGCAAATTTGTCCGATAACAAGCCATTCTATAGAAAATGTGATCGATAACAAGCTTTACTATAGAAAAGATGTTCGACAACTAGGTTTTGTATTAAAAAAGTTGTGCGATAACACCCGATAACAAGCATTTATAAAGAAAAATTGTCCGTTAGAAGCTATTCTATAGTAAATTTGTCCGATAACAAGCTATTCCATGCAAAATGAAGGCGATAACAAGCTTTACTATAGAAAAGATGTTCGACAACTAGCTTTTGTATTAAAAAAGTTGTCCGATAGCACCCGATAACAAGCTTTTGTAAAGAAAAATTGTCCGATAAAAGCTATTCTATAGTAAATATGTCCGATAACAAGCTTTACTATAGAAAATATGTTTTACTACAGAAAAAATGAGTTGGACAATAGCACTCGCTTCTGTAGAAAAGTTTTTCGATAACATGATTTTTTTAGAGAAATGTTGTCTTATTCAGTTATTTTATATAGAAATTATGCCCGATAACAATATTTTCTCATAAAACAAAGTTGTCCGATAGCAATTTTATGTTAAGAAAATGTGGCTATTAGCAGTCTATTTTTTATAGAAATCTTATATAGATATCTACTTTTTTCATGTTAGATAAATCGTTCGATAACAATTAACGATATTCAATAACAATTCATTTTACGGAAAATGGATCGATATTTTACTATTTTATAGAAACCCTGTTCGATAACAACTAAAGGAAATTTGCCAGTCATTAGATGTTCCCATTGCAATGTTCTTTCTAATCCATTCTTGTTGAAAAACTAATCGAGGAAATATCACGATTTCGTTTAATTTTTTTTAAAAACATGTTCACGATCTATTTTTTTTCTCATCTAAATGAAATTCTTATACTTACAACACCTGTAACATTTTACTTAGAAACGGTATCTGTTGTAAATATCATACTAATACATACATACACACAATTGTAAAAATGTATGTATGAAATTCTGAAATTATTCGTAGTCATATTGTATTGCAATTCACACGTTTACGAGACGAGCCTTTTGTGTTCGTTTGGTTTGCTTTAATCAATTTAATGATACTTGAATACAGTAGTATTACAGTAATTGAAAATGCGATCTAGGTATGTAAGTTTATTTTTAGTCGTCGACGAACAAAATGTATAAAAATCTTGCATAATTTCTCGTTGTTGTTGCTTGCCATTGTTCATAGGCGATTTGCATATTAGAGAGGTAACGTCGATTTACAGATGAAATAAAGCTTAAATATGTGTGTGTGTGAACAGCAGCAAAGCCATAATTCCTAAAAGTATTTTAAAGCAAAACACTAAAATAACTAATATTTTATGTTTTCTTTTTATACCATTTTCATTACACCCTTGTGTTACTTGATTTTTTTTATTGTCGCCGATGTTGATGTCCGACAAAAGTCGACACCATAAATTAATTCCATTCAAATCAATGGCCAACAATGGAACACTAACAGGCCATACAATCACATGTGCAAAGAATTTATTTTTCATTCGTTTTTTTTTTCACAGATTTTAAGTCACGTTTGACTCTATAAATGCATGTTTTATTTATGTAGCGACAGAGCCGCTGACACAGCGTTAACGGCGACGCTAACGTCTTGGGTGCTCTCATTAATGCAATGAGACTACCACCTGGACTAGGAGAGACTTACCACAAAAGAAGAGGAAACGGAAAAGAGAAATAAAACAAAACAACAGGTGGCGGTGAGAGGGCAAGAGAAATGTAAACAGAAAGCACTGAAGTAGTGTGCTTATGGGGATGTTGGGAATTCACCACGATTTATCACGGCAAATTCTATTGGGGATGTTGATTTGGGTAAATTCACCACGGTGAATTTTAATGGGGATGTTGTCTTGGGAATTGTACCACGGCAAATTCTATTGGGGATGTTGATTAGGGTAAATTCTCCACGGTGAAATATATTGGGGATGTTGTCTTTTGAAATGTACCACGGTGAAATATATTGGGGATGTTGTCTTTTGAAATGTACCACGGTGAATTATATTGGGGATGTTGTCGTTTGAATTGTACCACGGCAAATAGAAGAGTTTCAATTGACAAATATGCTGCAATTATTGATATTTCAGGGGTTTTAAGAAAAACGATAACGAAGTCGAGTGGGTTGAACACGAAAATCAGCATGTTGGCTATGCAAAACATGATGAGATAAAAAGACAAAACTAACTTTTCGTTGTACTTGTTTTAATTTGTCTATAATTTTAGCGACTCAAAAATGTTCAGTTATTCCCATCGAAACGATATAGGCGACATCTAACGGTGAGTTCCATCCATACTATCCATAAATTATGTTGTAGCATAGACACACTCCAAAACTATTGAAATATGATCATATCGAATGGGGCTAGAGAGATCCACCATATGAGAAGTGAATATAGCAGAGACAAATTTGGTTAGTATCATAGTCAACAAGAAGATGTGTGTTCTATTATTTTGTCCAGATGGCTCTCCAGTCATTTCCCTCGAAACGATATAGGCGACATCTAACCACCAATTAATGTTGTAGCATATACACACTAAAAAAATGCTGCTGTAGCCAATCAAAGCAAATTCTTCTTGTGTGGACAGGCATTTTGATACATTATATCGATCGCTTTTTGATAGTTTTGTCGATGAAGAATTTGTTTACATTATGTAGCAATTTGAGAGAATTGAAACTGAAAGAGTTTCATGACAAACCCTGCATCAATTCGGTATTGAAGATTGAAGGGATTTGAAGAAGGAAACACCATTGTTTACATTAACTAACAATTGGATTTCTGTGAAATGGATATGAGAATTTGGGGGGAAGCGTTGTTGCAGAGTTTCATGACAAATTCTGCTTCAATCACAGAATTTCTATTTGTTTAC